GGGGGGGAGAGAGAGAGAGAGAGAGAGAGACGACTGCAGCCTAGTGCAGAAGCGATGTGTGTCCAGGGTCTTTTTAACAATCAGATCTTGTGGGAAGCAATAGAGTGAGAACTCACTCATTACCATGAGGTTGGCACCAAGTCATTCATGAGGGATCTGCCCCCTTGACCCAACATCTTCCATCAGGCTCCAACATTTGGGATCACATTTCTTTTTTTTTTTTGAGTTGGAGTCTCACTCTGTCACCCAGACTGGAGTGCAGTAGCCGCTCCCGGCCACCGCAGCCTCCACCTGCTGGGCTCCAGCGATCCTTCTGCCTCAGCCTTCCAAGTAGCTGGAACTACAGGCCTGCGCTACCACGCCTGGCTCATTTTGATTTATTGTAGAGATGAGGTCTCGCCAAGTTGCCCAGTCGGGTCTTGAACCCACGGGCTCAGGCAATCTACTCACCTCAGCCTCCCAAAGGCGCGGGATTACAAGCTGAACCACCGAGCCCTGCTAGGGATCACCTTTCAACATGAAGTTTGGAGGGTAAAATATCCAAACTATAGTACCCAGTGTAGTCAGAAACTTTCAGAAACTCTTATTCCCACATGTATCTCTTCTTCCTACCAATTCTTCTCCTGGCTTCTTGATCTATTGTGATCTAAGTTGTTTTCCTTGTAATAGTCTACTATAGCCAATACCTGTGCATTTAAATGTTTTTGGCCAGGGAAACTGTCCTAGCCCTGGGAAAAGCAAGGTCCCTAAGGGAGCTGTCAGGCAGATTAAGGCTCATATCCACCATCTTTTTAGAAGAATGTCTGCATTGCTTCCTAGCAATCTGTACCAGGAATATGGGCAATGGTTGTCATAGCTGCTGCCTGTCTGGGATATGAGAATGGTAGGCAGGTTGTTTAAAATGCTGTGGTGCCCTCTCGCCACAAAGCAGCATCTTCTCTCCTCACCAAGCCTTCTCCTGGTTGTTATAAGTTTTGATGGTATTCTAGAGTTCTTCAGAAATTTATTCTGAAGTTTTTTTTTCTTTTGCTCAGGTTGGAGTTCAGTGACATGATCATGGCCCACCACAGTCTCCGCCTCCTAGGCTCATGTGATCCTCCTGCATCAGCCTCCCAAGTAGCTGGGACTACAGGCATGCATTACCACACCCAGCTAACTTTGTTGTTGTTGAGATAGGGTCTTGCTGTGTTGCCAAAGGTGATCTTGAACTCCACGGCTCAAGCAGTCCCCCTGCCTTGGCCTCCCAAAGTGCTGGAGTTATAGTGTGAACAACCACACCATGCCCAGGTTTAAAATTTTTCTTTGAGATTTTAATTTATATTTTCTGCTTTTATTGTTGTGGTGGTAGTTCTGTTTTATTTTACATATCAGTCCTTTCACAGAAGCTGAACCTGAATGATTAGGATGCAATTATTGATGGAGCCAGTGTTAGTCTGGCAGATTAAGTAAATACTTGACTACTCACTTTGGTTACAGAATTGAACTGTGTATGCTATGAAATTCTGCTTGCTGAAGTTTTCTAAACCTTAATAAGAGGAAATAGTAAATCATTGGGTTTTTTGTTCTCTTCAGCTTTCCGAAGAATTGTTAAATAAGTGGCTTTCCTACCCAGAGACCCAGCATGTACCCCTCAGCCAGCATATGCTTGGTTTTGCTATGAAGTCTGTGACACAGATGGTACTGGGTAGTACATTTGAAGATGACCAGGAAGTCATTCGCTTCCAGAAGAATCATGGCACAGTAAGTCTAAGACTGGGTTTAAAATTATTCTTTTATCAAATTGGATAGTTGAATAATACAGACTTTGTTTATCAAGAAGGTTTGGCCGGGTGTGGTAACTTACACCTATAATCCCAGCACTTTGAGAGGTAGAGGTGAGAGGATTGCCTGACTCGGGGGTCTCTACAATTAAATCAAAAAATTAGCCGGGCATGGTGGCACATTTCTATGACTGAAGCGGAAGGATTGCCTGAGCCCAGCAGGTTGAGACTGCAGTGGCCGTGAGCATGCCACTCCAGCCTGGGCAACAGAGTGAGACTCCGATTCAAAAAAAAGAAGAAAGTTTAAGATTACCTGTACAAGGACCATTTGTATACCTAACCCAACATTGAACCCCCCTTCTTTAAAATAAAATAAAAATTAAGGTCAGGTGCGGTGGCTCAGGCCTGTAATCCCAGCACTTTGGGAGGCTGAGGGGAGAGGATTGCCTGAGCCCATGAGTTCAAGACCAGCCTGGGCAACATGTGAGACCTCATCTCTACAATAAATAAAAAAATTAGCTGAGCGTGGTAGTGCCCACCCATAGTTCTGGGTACTTGGAAGGCTGAGGCAGAAGGATTGCTGGAGCCCAACAGGTCGATGCTGGAGTGGCTGTGAGCATGTCACTGCACTGCAGCCTGGGTGATGGAGTGAGACTCTTAACTAAAAAAAAAACAACAACAAAAAAAACTAATTAAATTAAAAATAATTTTTTTAAAACTCACCAAAAATAAAATAAGCGATAAAATAAGAATGTTTAGTTCTTTTAGGAAAGCCGTTGACTGAAGTGAGAGCACAAAGGCTAGGAAAAAAATGGGGGTAAAAAAAGATTCTGTGGTACAGAAATTCTTAGTTTTGGGCTAAAAAGAACAATGCAAATAAAAATAATTGTTACCTTTTCAAAAACATTAAGAATTTACTTTTGTAAGCAATTACTTTAGAAATGTAAAAAGTATATTACTAAAGAAATTTTTTTTTTTTTTTGAATTGGAGTCTCATTCTGTTGCCCTGGCCAGAGTGCCATGGCATACTCACGGCCATCCCAGCATCAACCTGCTGGACTCCTACGATCCTTCCACCTCAACCTTCCAAGTAGGTGTACCTTTCCATGCCCAGCTAATCTTTTAATTATTATTTTTTTTTTTTTATGAGTTGGAATCTCACTCTGACGCCCAACCTGGAGTGCAGTGGCATGCTCACGACCTCCGCAGCCGTGAGGATAACTGGGCTCCATCTATCCTTCCACCTCAGCCTTCCAAGTAACTGGAACTACAGGCACGCACTACCACTGCTGGCTAATTTTTGATGTATTGTAGAGACGAGGTCTCACCAAGTTGCCTGAGTGGGTCTCGAACCCACGGGCTCGGGCAATCCATTTACCTCAGCCTCCGAAAGTGCTGGGATTGCAGTCTGAGCTACCTAGCCAGGCCAGAAATTTTCATTTAACACTTAGTATGTTGACTGGGCTCGGTGGCCCACCCTGTAATCCCAGCGCTCTGGGAGACTGAAGCGAGTGGATTGCCTGAGCCCGTGGGTTTGAGACCAGCCCAGGCAACTTGGCAAGACCTTGTCCCTACAATAAATAAAAAATTAGCAGGGCATAGTAGCAGGTGCCTGTAGTTCCAGTTACTTGGAAGGCTGAGGCAGAAGGATCGCCTCGCCTGAGCCCAGCAGGTTGAGGCTGTGGTGGCCGTGAGCATGCCACTGCACTCTAGCCTGGGTGACAGAGTGAGACTCCAAGTCAAAAAAAAAAAGAAGCGAAAAAACCATTTAGGATGTTATTAAAAAATAATGTTGAATTCTAGAATAAAGAGAAAAGCTTTATTTAATAGAGTTAAATCATGCCTTATATAGAAGGAATTAAACAGAGCCAATTGAACATGAAAATGCTAATGAATTGAATATGATTAGAAGCAAAGCTAATTCAGGCTAAAATTGAATTACTATTTCCCTTTACTAAATTCACATGTGAAATTTATTATTTATTTTCATGCGTCTCACATTAGATTAATTTATTTGGTTTAAATTATACATAGAGGCAAGCTCGCTGGCTCAGCCTGTAATCCCAGCACTTTGGGAGGCCAAGATGAGTGGATTGCCTGAGCTTGTAGATTCAAGACCAACCTGGGCAACTTGGCAATACCTCATCTCTACAATAAATCAAAATTTAGCCGGGTGTGGTAGCGTGCGCCTGTAGTTCTGGCTACTTGGAAGGCTGATGTGGAAGGATCACTGGAACCCAACAGGTTGATGCTGGGGTGGCTGTGAGAGTGCCACTGCATTCCAGCCTTGGCAATGGAGTGAGACTGCAACTATAAATAAATAAATAAATAAATAAATAAAACTTAGATCGTTTACAACATTTCAGATCTACGAAATTATTAATTATTCCTTATTTAAATGTATTAAAAAGGTTGAGACTATGCATGGTGTCTCCTGCCTATAATCCCATCACTCTGAGAGGCAGAAGTGGGAGGATTGCTTGAGGCCAGAAGTTCAAGACCAGCCTGGGTGTCACAGCCAGTCTTCGTCTCTACAAAAAAAATAGAAAAAATTAGTCACTTGTGGTGGCATGAATTGTAGTCCCAGCTGCTCAGGAGGTGAAAGGATCACCGGAGCCCAGAAGTTTTGAGGTTGCATTGGGCTGTGATCATGCTGCTGCACTCTAGCCTGAACAGAGTGAGACACAGACTGAAAAAAATTAAGTTAATATGTTTTAAACAAAATCGCCAGGAACTATGGGTTAATTCCCCATACCCTATCATTATTTAATACTTTGCTTTTCCTGTTAAAATGGTTTTTATTACTTTAGTTTGATGATTTTTAAAAAGTGTATTTCTTATAAAATATTCACATATTCAGGTGCATACAAGTCACCAAGTTGTCCAAGCTGGTCTCAAACCCCTGGGCTCAGACAATCCTCTTGCCTCAGCCTCCCAAAGTGCAGAGATTACAGACATGAGCCACCGTGCCTAGTCATATTTTTTTATTTTATTTTTGAGTTGAAATCTCACTCTCTCAGGCAACCTTGACCTCCTGAGCTCAGGTGATCCTCCCACCTCAGTCTTCCATGTAGCTGGGACTACAGGTGCACACCATTACACCTAGCTACTTTATTGTAGAGATGAGGTCTCACCATATTGCCCAGGCTGGTCTCAAACTTCTGGGCTCAGGCAATCCTCTTGCCTCTGCCTCCGAAAGTGCTGGGATTACAGGCATGAACCACCACACCCAGCCATTATACAGTTTAATAGTTTGACATTTTACATTTAAATCATCTGACGTATATATATTTTAAGGTAAGAGTTGAGGCAAGGGTTAACGCTATTATTTTTCAAATAAAGTATTTAACTATTGATTAATTTGTGTGTATTCTTTCCTCAAATTCTTTCAGAACTTTTTTGTTTTTTGTTTTTTGAGTTGGAGTCTCACTCTGTCACCCAGACTGGAGTGCAGTGGCACACTCCCAACCACCGCAGCCTTGACCTGCTGGGCTCCAGTGATCCTTCCACCTCAGCCTCCCAAGAAGCCGGAACTATAGGCACATGCTACCAAGCCTGGCTAATTTTTGATTTAGTGTAGAGATGAGGTCTTACCAAGTTTCCCAAGTGGGTCTTGAAACCGCAGGCTCAAGCAATCCACTCACCTCGGCCTCCCAAAGTGCTGGAATTACAGGCTGAGCCACCGAGCTTGGCCCTTTCAGAACTTTTTAATTACAATCAGTTAAAGTTTTTTCAAAAGCTGATGACTAAATTTTGAAATATTGGTAGCTTGTTCTGCTCATTATTGTCTCCAAACCTTAGACTAATTTTTAACACCTTTCTGTACCTCAGCCAATGTTTATCATTATAGGTGAAATAAAATCTGTAATTACCTGTGAATTTTATTTATATACTTGTGCCATTACAATACTAAACTGAGATTGACTCTACTGCCGTATCCTTTTTCCTCTCCATTTCTACTCCTTTATTTATTTATTTATTTATTTTTATTTATTTATTTTTGAGTTAGAGTCTCAGTCCGTCACCAGGCTGTAGTCCATTGGCATACTCACAGCCACCACAGCCTCTACCTGCTGAGCTCAGGTAATCCTTCTACCTCAGCCTTCCAAGTAGTTGGGACTACAGGCACGTGGCACCACATCCAGCTAATTTTTTAAAAAATTTATTATAGAGACTAGGTCTTGTCAACTTGCCCAGGCTGGTCTTGAACTCCTGGCCTCAGGCAATCCTCTCACCTCTGCCTCCCAAAGTGCTGAGATTACAGGCCTGAGCCACCATGCCCGGCCATTCCTACTCCTTTTTAAAAATTAATTGTATTTTCTTTTGGCTTCAAGGGGTACATGTGAAAATTTGTTACATAAGTATATTGCATGATAGCAAGGTTTGGACTTTTTTTGTGTTGGAGTCTAACTCCCTCGCCCAGGCTGGAGTGCAGTTGCACACTCACGGCCACCCCAGTGTTGACCTGCTGGGCTCAGGCGAACCTTCCACCTTAGCCTTTCAAGTAGCCAGGACGCTACCACGCCTGGCTAATTTTTTGATTTATTGTAGAGACGAGGTCTTACCAAGTTGCCTGAACTGGTCTCAAACCCGCAGGCTCAGGCAATCCACTCACCTTGGCCTCCCAAAGTGCTGGGATTACAGGCTGAGCCTCTGAGCCCGGCCAAAGTTATTTAGACTTTTTTTTTTTTTTTTTTTGAGTTGGAGTCTCACTCTGTTGCCCAGACTGGAGTGCAGTGGCTGCTCCCGGCCACCGCAGCCTTGACCTGCTGGGCTCCGGTGATCCTTCCGCCTCAGCCTTCCAATTAACTGGAACTACAGGCATGCGCTACCACGCCCGGATGATTTTTTGATTTATTGTAGAGATAAGGGCTCACCAAATTGCCCAAGTGGGTCTCGAACCCACGGGCTCAGGCAATCCTTTCACCTCAGCCTCCCAAAGGCACGGGATTACAGGCCGAGCCACCGAGCCCAGCTTAAAAGTTTAGGCTTTTGAGGCGGAAGGATCGCTGGAGCCCAGCAGGTCGAGGCTGCGGTGGCCAGGAGTTGCCACTGCACTCCAGTCTGGGTGACAGAGTGAGACTCCAACTCAAAAAAAAAAAAAGTTTAGACTTTTGATGAACCTGCCAACCCCCCGTGGCACATAGTACCCGATATGTGGTTTTGCATCCCTTGTTCCCTCTCTCTCCTTCCCAGTTGTAGGAGTCCCCAGTCTGTTGTTCCTATTCCTGTGCCCCTCTGTACCCACTGTTAAGCACTCACTTAGGACAACATGCTGTTTCTGTTTCATTCCTACTTCTTTTAAAGAAAAGAAAATTTTCGCTTTTTAATTGTAGTAATAAGTTTGAAAGTGTCTTGACTGTAATCATTAAGATATATTTGTTCCCTATTCTCTGAGTCTTAAAGAGTAAATGATTTTGCAGCTGGCTTAAAAGGGAGACGTTGGTTATTAGATTTGTTAGTGAGAAAGGAGTTCCTTCATTATTAGCTTACATTGCTCTGTATTATTTAGAAAATCTTCCTACTAGATAAGAGATATTTATATTTTCTTATTTTCAGGTTTGGTCTGAGATTGGAAAAGGCTTTCTAGATGGGTCACTTGATAAAAGCACAACTCGAAACCAGCAGTATGAAGATGGTAAGTTTGGTCACTCATAGTTTTTAGTAAGGTCAAAAATATATGTGCCCCAGTTTGAATAAGATAATCTTTGAATAGTGAGATTATAGATTTTTTGTTTTTTTTGTTTTTTTGTTTTTTTTTTTGAGTCGGAGTCTCACTCTGTCACCCAGACTGGAGTGCAGTGGCCGCTCCCGGCCACCGCAGCCTCCACCGGCTGGGCTCCGGCAATCCTTCCGCCTCAGCCTTCCGAGGAGCTGGAACTACAGGCGCGCGCCACCACGCCCGGCTAATTTTTTTTTGATTTATTGTAGAGATGAGGTCTCACTGCCCAAGCTGGTCTCGAACCCGCGGGCTCAGGCAATCCACTCACCTCAGCCTCCCAAAGGCGCGGGATTACAGGCTGAGCCACCGAGCCCGGCTAGATTTTTTAATATTTTCTCTCTTCATGATTTTTTGCTACATTTCCTACAATAAAAATTTTTCTTTAACAAAAGTGAAGAGGGCTGGGCATGGTGACTCATGCCTATAGTCTCTGAAGTTTGGGAGGCTAAGGCAAGAGGATTGCCTGATCCCAGGTGTTTGAGACCAGCCTGGGAAACTAAGACCTTGTCTCTATAATAAATCCAAAAACTAACTGGGTGTGGTGGTATACCACACTTGGAAGACTGAGGCAGAAGGATTGCCTAAGTCCAGCAGATCAAAGCTGCAGTGGCCGTGATTATGCCACTGCACTCCAGCCTGGGCAACAGTGAGACTACAACTCAGAAATAAAAAGAGGAAAAAGCAGTGTGTTAGTAATGGAAACTCCAGCACTCACTCAGGATTCATGGAAAGTATAAGGGAACAAGAAAACAGTTGGACAACGCATATTAATATATTCGCTACCGGCAAATTTTTCACTTTCCTAATACTGAGAGTGGGTGAAAATTTTTAAAAACCTGAAGCTGGTTGCCTCAAACTTCTGTCATTCAGCACAAGCGAAATGTTTTTTTTTTCTAAATTGTCACCTTTTTCACAATACAGCTGAAATTTGCAGACATATCCAGTATTTGCCTTAGACACCAATCTGACTAGCATTCTGTACTTTGTAGTTTTATTCGGATTGTAAGCCCAAAAAGACAGTCTTCCACAATGAGGTATCATGAATTCATCCAGGGAATGTTCTTGTTCAGGTTTGTATACTGTGTTGAACTTATTTAAAACATAATTTAGCCGGGCTCGGTGCTCAGCCTGTAATCCTGCACCTTTGAGAGGCTGAGGTGAGTGGATTGCCTGAGCCTGTGGGTTCGAGACCCACCTGGACAGCGAGACCTCATCTCTACAATAAATCAAAAAATCAGCCGGGCGTGGTAGCGCATGCCTGTAATTCCGGCTACTCGGAAGGCTGAGGCGGAAGGATCGCTGGAGCCCAGCAGGCGAGGCTGCGGTGGCCGGAAGCGGCCGCTGTACTCTAGTCTGGGTGACCGAGTGAGACTCCAACTCAAAAAAAAAAAAAAAAAACATAATTTATTACGGTTCGAATTTTGCATAATCTGCTTGGATTTGCGTGCATTTCTCCATTACTGGAAAAATGCAAAACCTATTTTGTGTCATTATTTTTTTAAAAAAAGGTGTCCCAATTGACAGATGTGTTGACCAATAATCATGTATTGTGGTTTTCCTCACTTGTCCCGTCAAAATATTTAATGCTAGACATTTTTTCATCTTGGACACTGTAGCATTGCTCCACTTTTCTTATTTCTTTGGACATTTATATCTTTGGTTCATCTGATCATAATACTTGTTAGTCTTAGTTACAATCATTTCTATAAGTTCATCTCCAATAAATAGTTCTTCATTTTTACCTTGAAGATCATTTGGAAATGCCTTGATACTTAGATTACCAATAAACACTTCTAAGTTTTTTTTTGGACCATATTTTGTCCACTCAGTGTTTTCACCAGTACTGGATTCACTGTCATAGATTATCTGCATTATATTTCTTGATTTACATTGTATCTTTACACTATCTCTCTCACTATCACTAATAAGTTTACTGGATTCACCTTTGACTTCAGAAATCTCATCAGCAGGCTGGGCTCAGTGGCTCAACCTGTAATCCCAGCACTTTGGGAGGTTGAGGTGAGTGGATTGCCTGAGCCCGGGGTTCAAGACCCAGCCAGGCAACTTGGTGAGACCTCATCTCTGCAATAAATCAAAAATTAGCTGGGCGTGGTAGCGTGCGCCTGTAGTTCCTGCTACTTGAAAGGCTGAGGCGGAAGGATCATTGGAGCCTAGCAGGTCAAGGCTGCGGTGGCAGGGAGCGTGCCACTGCCCTCCAGCCTGGATGACAGAGTGAGACTAACTCAAAAAAAAAAAAAAGAAATCACATCAGCATATATTTCTTCATGTTCCTCAATTATGATAAATTATTTTTAATGTTGAAGTATGAAAGACCTGAAATATCAAAATATAAGTATATAACACTAATTATAACAAAATAATCACCAACTTGTAATTTTTACCAACTACATAAATCAGTAACAACATTACACAATCGATATCAGATAATTATCTCAATTAACTGTCTTCTTACCTATTTCTTTTTTTTTTTCTTTTTTTCCGAGTTGGAGTCTCACTCTGTGGCCCAGACTGGAGTGCATTGGCACACTCCCGGCCACCACAGTCTCAACCTGCTGGGCTCCGGCGATCCTCCCACCTCAGCCTTCCAAGTAGCTGGAACTACAGGCGTGCGCTACCACACCCAGCTAATTTTTCATTTATTGTAGAGATGAGGTCTCGCTAAGTTGCCTAGGCAGGTCTCCAACCCGCGGGCTCAGGCAATCCACTCGCCTCGGCCTCCCAAAGTGCTGGGCTTACACGATGAGCCACCGAGCCCGGCCCGACTATTCATTTTCAAGCAAAATATAATAACACATACATTTGACAATGTTGCAGCATTCAGAAACAGCATTTGCAAAAACATAAATTCATGTCAGTGGCAACCAGAAACAGAATTTGGAATGATGTAAATTCATGTCAGCAGTCACGAATGAGTTACAAGTAATAGCAAGTGAAATTACCTAAAAGATGAAAATATTCATAAACATATTTTTTGTAATACTACTTCTGCAAGCAGAACATCGAAAACAAACTAAACATTCAACCTTATAGGAATTGCTAAAGAAATAATATTGGCTGGGCACAGTGGCTCACGCCTATAATTCCAGCACTTTGGGAGACCGAAACAGAAGGTATGCTTGAGTCCAGGAGTTCGAGACCAACCTGGACAACATAGTGAGACCTCATTTCTACAAAAATAAAAATTAAAAAAATTATCCAGGCATGATGGCGTGCACCTGTAGTCCCAGGTTGAAGCGAAAGAATTGCCTGAGCCCAGTAGATCAAGGCTGTGGTGAGCTGTGATTGTGTCACTGCATACCAGCCTAGGTGACAGTGAGACCCCAACTCAAAAAAAAAAGTTTGTGCCATTATAACATTGAGTAAAGATATTTTAAAAATTGTTTGACATTGGTTATAGCTTTATTATTATTATTATTTTTGAGTCAGGCTCTCACTTTGTTGCCCAGGCTAAAGTACAGTGTGACACCACTGTGACTTACCACCATCGTGGACTCAAGCAGTCCTCCTGCTTCAGCCTCCCAAGTAGCCAGGGCTGGAGGCATGTATCACTACAGTAGCTATTTTTTTTTTCAAATAAAGTTTATTAGAGAGAAAAGAAAGAGTGACATGTCAGAGCTCGCCTGGACTAAAGAAACCACCCACCCAGCTAATTTTTAAAAATTGTTTTTGAGGCCAGGCACAATGGCTCACGCCTATAATCCCAGCACTTTGGGAGGCTGAGGTGAGAGGGCTGCCTGAGCCCATGGGTTTTGAGACCACCCTGGGCAACCTGGTGAGATCCCATCTCTACAATAAATCAAAAAATTAGCTGGGCGTGGTGGCGTGTGCTTGTAGTTCCAGCTACTTGAAAGGCTGAGGCGGAAGGATCACCTCAGCCCAGCAGGTCGAGGCTGCGATGGCCAGGAGCATGCCCTCCAGCCTGGGTGACAGAGTGAAACTCCTACTCAAAAATAAATAATTAATTTTTTAAAAATTGTTTTTGTAGAGATAAGATCTTACTGTGTTGCCCAGGCTGGTCTCAAACTCCTGGGCTCAAGTGATCTTTCTGGCTTAGCCTCCCAGGATGCTGGGATTACAAATGTAAGCCACTGTGCCCAGCCAACTGTATAAATTTATGCCAGAAAATAGCAATTTTAGGCCAGGGGCAATGACTCACACTTCAGGAGGTGGAGGCGAGAGAATAGCCTGAGCCCAGGGGTTTAAGGCCTGAGAAATTTGGCGAGACTTTATCTCTACAATAAATAAAAAATTATCTGCATGGTGGTGCATGCCTGTGGTTCCAGCTACTTGGAAGGCAGAGGCAGAAGTATTGCCTGAGCCCAGCAGGTCGAGGCTGCAGTGACCATGAGCCTGTTATTGCACTTCAGCCTGGGCAACAGAATAAGACTCCAACTCAAAAACAAACAAACAACAACAACAGAAAATGGAAAATAGCAATTTTAATTTAATATAGTTCCCTCAAATCATTCTCCCTTACTCTTTTTGTTGTTGCTCTGTGTTTTCTGTCAGTGGTTGAATGATTGTAACGCTTTAATACTTTTATTCTGAGCTTCTTCATTTCCCTTTTTGGAAGCAGACAAGGTAAATTAAAATACGTAAGGTGCATTGGAATAATGCATTATATTCCATATATAATATATTGCGTCACAGGATTCTCTTCCTTTATCCTTTTGACAAACATTTATTGAAGTGTACTCTGTGCTAGGCCCTATTCTATGTATAGAAAACAAAAATCCCTGTCCTCATTAGCTTACTATTCTAGTGATTCCCTTACTGTCCAACAGAAGTTAAAAAAAAAAAAAGTCTATTTATTAACTAATTGTTTTTTAAGTCAGAGTCTCACTCTGTAGTGCAGTGGCATAATCATGGCTTACCATAGCCTGAATCTCATGGACTCAGGCTGTCCTTCTGCCTCAGCCTCTCAAGTAGCTGGGACTACAGGTGTGTGCCACCATGCCTCGCTAAGTTTTTTTATTTTGTAGAGATGAGGTCTTGCTATGTTTCCTAGGCTGGTCTCCAACTCCTGGACTCAAGGTATTCTCCCACCTTGTCCTCCCAAAGTGCTGGGATTACACGTGAGAGCCTCCTCACCTAGCCAGAAAAAAAAAAAAGCCAGTTTAGTTGACATATTTCCTGCTATCAACACATTCTGATTATCTTGATCAGTGCATTTGGATTAACTCCCTTTTATAAAAAATATATTTTAGAAATATTAAATTCATTTGAAATGATAATAATTCATATTATTTGATTCTAAATAAAAGCAGATTTTCTAGCATAATTTGTCCCTTGGGCTATAACATGGGCATAGATCAAATCTGAGATTTTGTTGAAAATAATTACGTTTTAGTATTTATATAAATGGGATCTCGCCGGGTTCGATGGCTCAGCCTGTAATCCCACGCCTTTGAGAGGCTGAGGTGAGTGGATTGCCTGAGCCCGCGGGTTTGAGACCCGCCTGGGCAACTTGGCGAAACCTCATCTCTACAGTAAATCAAAAAATCAGCCGGGCATGGTAGCGCACACCTGTAATTCCAGCTATTCAGAAGGCTGAGGCGGAAGGATCGCCGGAGCCCAGCAGAGCGAGCTGTGGTAGCCAGGAGCAGCCACTTCACTCCAGTCTGGGCGACAGAGTGAGACTCCAACTCAAAAAAAATAATAATAAAAAATAAATGGGATCTCATGGCTGCATGAGAGCTTCCTTTGTTTATGTAAGTAATTTCTAACCTGCTCTGCACATTGGAATCACTTGGGGAACTTAAAAAACAAAACAAAACTAGAGATCAGGTCCCATCCTAGACCAATTTAGTCAACATCTGAGATGGGATGCACTGGCATCAGGTATTTTTGTAAAAGCTGTCCTGATTATTCTAAGGTACTTGTAAGTGGAGAGTGTACAATGGTAGTTCCCAGACTTTGCTATACTTTGAATATTTTTTTTAAATATTGAATCCTGGCTTCTTCCTGTAAACGTTCAGATTTATTTGGTAGAAGGTGTGACATGTGCTTACTAGTTTTTATAAAAGCTTCCCAGGTGATTCTAATGTGTAGCGAATTCTGGGAACTGCTGCATTACAGTGTTAATAATTTCGCATTTTAATCACTAGTGTGTATTACATTTTTAATTCTATAAATATATAGTGAAGATCTGTAATATACTGACATATTTTATGTGCTGGGGAACCTAAACAATCAAAATGTCTTGCCCTTGCAGCACCGCACTGAAGTGGAGAGAGACAATAGTCAAAATAAATCAAATGAATAGTATGTTAAAAGATGAAAAATGCTGAGGAGAAAAATACAACCGGAAGGGAATAGAGAGTGCCAGGGGGTGGGGAGGTTGCAATTTTAAGTAATTATTAGGAAAGACCTCACCAAGATGAGGTAACGTTTTTGTGTTTTTATGAATTAAGAAAGGTAGATTTATTAAAGGCAAGATACGGTGTGAAATGTGAAGGGTACATCGGGTAGGACAATTGCAAGTGTCTGCTGTCTGCTGCCTTGAGGTGACTTTTGAGCAAACACTTGAAAGAGATGAAGCAACCAGTCTTGCAGATTACATGGATACCTGGATGTCCAAAGGACAAATATTCTATGTAAGGTAAAGTAATTGCAAAGTCCTGGAGGTGGGACTCTTGCTGGTGTATTTGAGGTACAACAGGAAGGCCAGTATGGCTGGAGTGAAGTGAGTTACAAGAGAAGCAGAAGGAGATGAGGTCAGAAAGATTGGGGATGGGTTCATATGACTTATAGACTCTTGTGTGACTAGGCTGTTACTATGAAACGGGAAGCTACTGGCGTTTTGAGCAGAGTTGTGATACGAGTTATGTTTAGAAGGGTCACTCTGGGCTGAGTGCGGAGACTCACTCCCGTAATCCCGGCACTTTGCGGGGCAGAGGTGAGAGGATTGCCTGAGCTGAGGTGTTCCAGACCAGCCTGGGCAACTTGGCAAGACCTTATCTCTACAATAAACTCAAAAATTAGCTGGGTGCTGTGGGCTACTTGAAAGGCTGAGCTGGAAGGATCGCCTGAGCCCAGCAGATCAAGGCTGTGGTGACAGAGTAAGACTGTGACTCAAAAAAAAAAAAAAAACAACCAAGGATCACTCTGGCTGCTATGAGACTGTAGGAACTCAGAGCAGAAGCAAGGAGACTAATTAGGGGTTGACTGCAATGCACCAGGCAAGACAGATGACATAGCTTGGACCAGGTAGCAGGCAACAGAAAATTCAGGGGGAAAAAAAAGTAAATCTGTATTTGAAGATAGACCTAGCACACTGGCTAATGGTGAAATGTGGGTTATGAGAGAGAAGGAGACACCATGGTTTTAGACCTCACAATTGTAAAATGAGGTTATTAGGAAATAAGATAGAGAAGACTGGGAAGGCCCAGTTTGGGGGGAAAGGTCAGGAGTTCAGCATGTTGGGTGATGAGTTGTTAGATACCTGAGTCTAGAGCTCAGGTAGAAGAGGTCCTGACAAGAAATACAAATTTGAAAGTGTGACATATTTAAAATCTTCAGACTAGAGATCACCAAGGTAGTGAATATAGATGGAAAAGGAGAAAAGTCTAAAAACTGAGCCCTGGCCGGGCTTGGTGGCTCAGCCTATAATCCCAGCATTTTGGGAGGCCGAGGTGAGTGGATTGCCTGAGCCCGTGGGTTCGAGACCCGCCTGGCAACTTGGCGAGACCTCTTCTCTACAATAAATCAAAAACTAGCCGGGTATGGTAGCGTATACCTGTAGTTCCAGCTACTTGGAAGGCTGAGGCGGAAGGATCGCCGGATTCCAGCAGGTTGAGGCTGCAGTGGCCGGGAGCGGCCACTGCACTCCAGTCTGGGTGACTGAGTGAAACTCCAACTCAAAAAAATAAAAATAGGCTGGGCTCGGTGGCTCAGCCTGTACTTCCAGCACTTTGGGAGGCTGAAGTGAGTGGATTGCCTGAGCCCGTGAGCTCGAGACCTCCCTAGGCAACTTGGTGAGACCTCATCTCTACAATAAATCAAAAATTAGCTGGCTGTGGTAGCGTGCACCTGTAGTTCCAGCTACTTGGAAGGCTGAGGTGGAAGGATCGCCGGACCCCAGCAGGTCGAGGCTGCGGTGGTCGGGAGTGGCCACTGCACTCCAGTCTGGGCGACAGTGAGACTCCAACTCAAAAAAAAAAAAAAAATTAGCCAGGTGTGGTGGTACACACCTGTAGTCCCAGCTACTTGGGAGACTGAGATGGAAGTATGGCCTGAGCCCAGCAGGTCAAGGTTGCAGAGACCATGAGCATGCCACTGCATTCCAGTCTGGGCAGGAGAGTCAGACTCCAACTCAAAAAAAAAAAAACAAAAGGAAAAAGGAAAAAAAGTAGACTGATACTGGGTACTGTGGCTCACACCTGTACTCCCATCACTTTGGAAATCTGAGTCAGGAAGACTGTTTTGAGTCCAGGGGTTCGAGGCTGTAGTAAGTTATGATCGTGCCACTGCACTCCAGCCTAGGCGACAAAGTGAGACCGGTTTCAAAAAGTCATAATGAAATAAGGAGGGCCAGGCACGGTGGCTCAAGCCTGTAATCCCAGCACTTTGGGAGGCCAAAGTGAGAGGATTTCCTGAGCCCATGGGTTCAAGAACAGCCTGGGCAACTTGGTGAGACCTCATCTCTACAATAAATCAAAAAATTAGCCAGGCATAGTAGCACGCGCCTGTAATTCCAGCTACTTGGAAGGCTTATTGGAAGAATCGCCTGAGCCCAGCAGGTTGACAGGTGGCTGTGAGTGTGCCACTGCACTCCAGCCTGGGCGACGGGAGTGAGACTCCAACTCAAAACAACAAAAAACATGAAATAAGGAGAATGAGAATGAGCAGACAGTAAATTGGGAAGGAAGTGTGGGCCATGTGAAAGAGTTACGAATATCCTCAGGGATAGGTCCAGTAGAGTAAGGAATGAAGCACATCTGGGGATAACTTTATTGACCATTGAATGTCAGATATTTGTATCTTTCAGGTTGTAAAATGTATTTTTCTGGTTAATTCACATCTGTTTCTGTCCGATGCCAGATTTGGGGAAAGGAATGGAATACAGAAAGAGTTGAGAAGGAAGGTAGTTGGAGAAGCTTACATGTTTGGAAGCCTCTTAGGTGCTGGTTTTGTTCTCCTTTTTAATCTGAGTAGTCAAGTTACAGCTGTTTGCTTTGTAATTACTCCTTAAACTGCACTTATGTGTTTTATGCACTTTTGGTATATATGTTAAAGTCGGCAAAAGGAAGGAGGAAAATAAAATAGATGGGCATAAATTAGCTTTCATCATTATTGGTTGCCAACATTGAAGATTTTATTCTGCACATAGTAACATTGTGCAAAATTATCTTTTAGAAGTTCAATCTCCACAAATGCTTGTATTCTAAAATTATTTTGTTTTTTCTTCTCTAAGCTCTTATGCAACTGGAATCTATCTTTAAAAAAATCATAAAAGAGCGAAAAGGAAGGAACTTCAGTCAGCATATTTTCATTGACTTCTTAGTACAGGGGAACCTTAATGACCAACAGGTGATGTAATTGTTAAATATTTATTAAATAAAAAATAAGCTGGAACCAGGGGTGGTAACACATGCCTGTAGTCTGAGCTATTCGGGAGGCTGAGGTGGGGGGAATCACTTGATCTCAGGAGTTCGAGGCCAGCCTGGGTGGCATAACAAGACCTCTGTCTATAAGTAATAATAATAATAATACCAATAATAGTCTCATATATATGGAGTTGGAGTCTCACTCTGTCGCCCAGACTGCACTGCAGCCTTGACCTGCTGGGCTCCAGCGATCCTTCTGCCTCAGCCTTCTGAGTAGCCAGAATTACAGGCACGCGCTACCACACCCGGCTAATTTTTTTTTATTTTTATTGTAGAGATGAGGTCTCGCCTGCCCAGGCGGGTCTCAAATCCGCGGGCTCAGGCAATCCACTCACCTCAGCCTCCCAAAGGCGCGGGATTACAGGCTGAACCACCGAGCCCGGCAGCGGAATGAACTTTTCATTCACTTTAATCCAGATACCCTCCTAGAATTCAATGGCTTCTTTTTTATTGTACATATATAGTTCAAGTACTTAGTCTCCTATTAATTAACTGTTTGAAGAATCTGTATATTATTTAATATTTGGGTAAGCAAATATTAAGCTGAAATTCTCTGATTATAAATGAGGAGACCTGAGCCTGCGGGTTCGAGACCCACCTAGGCAACTTGGTGAGACCTCATCTCTACAATAAATCAAAAACTAGCCAGGTGTGGTCGAGATTGAGGCTGCAGTGGCCGGGAGCAGCCACTGCACTCCAGTCTGGGCGACAGAGTGAGACTCCAACTCAAAAAAAAAAAAATTAATGAGGAGAAGGACTTGTATAAGTGTAGCCATTGTAGACACGTTACTCTGCATGCATGACCAGGTGTGGCAGCTTGACCTGTTCACAGTGCACGTTGGTTGCCACCAGCACACTACTGTTTATGGTACTGTCAGGCAAAAAACAGGCATAGTGTCATTGTTGCACACTTGTTCATTGTAAGAATAATTTCCCCACGCTCTACACACAAGTTCTTGTAGTCAGAAGTGGTTTCGGGGAATTTGTTGGTGTAGAAATTGATTGGGCTCCCAGGACAGTGGCAGGATCCTCTCCACTGTTCCTGGACCATGTTGCTACATCAGGTGGAGCCAGAAAGTTGGAACTGAGCTAGTTTATTTGCCAAAGTATATGAGCCAGTAGTGTTAGCAACCTGTACCATGATTTGATATTACACATTGTACACATATATCAAAATACCAGATATCCCTAAAATATGTACAACTATGATATATCAAAGATATATTTCAAAAAAGCAGCGTATTATTTAGATTGGTTTTCACATTATACTGATTTTGTTTTAATAAAACATTATAAAGAAAAAAGCGTACTCTTTTTTTAATTAACCCTAAGTTTAAACTCTAGATTGTTTTAGCATGGCCTAATATAGGCCACCTTTCATTTCACACTTTCTAAACTTAGTTTTGTTTTCTAGATCCTAGAAGACAGTATTATATTTTCTCTGGCTGGATGTGTGATAACTGCAAAATGTGAGTATAAATTTATTTCTTTTTCAGATGGATTACAAATATAAAGGTGATGCTAGTCTAAAATAAAGGAAGCACTGTTTGCAAGACCTCTTTATAATTTCCCTTTCCTTTTTTTAATTCTTGTTTAGAAGGCTTAATTCACACAGGTGCCTTTTTTTTTTAACCCCAGCGATTGATATCACCCTCTGAAAATTGCTATAAATTTCTTGACACATTTTTTTCTAGTTACTGTCTTTGAAATGAACTGCTATTGATACTTCTCCAACCAGTGCAGTAAGCTTTTCCATTTCCTGCTGCTGCTTTTCACTTTGACTCCAAGTGAGTCTGCTATTATTAAGGTCTACTAACCCAGGATGTAGGCCACAGAAACCACAAGTTAAAAGAAGTCTTCTCTTGTTGGAATTGAAGGTGATTTTAATTAAAATTCTAAAATATGTGATATGTTTCTAAGTTTCCTCACTGGTTTTTAGATTAGTGGAGTACCATTCATTTATACAATATTCATAAAAAATGTGTTTATAGACATAACATTTAGTAATATAAAAATACTTAATGGAAGTATTAGGACATCAATTTAAAATTTAGAAAATTTATGTTCACTTGAACAGTTTCATTTACAGCTCTTTCTTTTTTAAAATTAATTTATTTTTATTTTAGAGTCACACTGTGTTACCCAGGCTGGTCTCAAACTTCTGGGCTCAAACGATCCTCCCACCCTGGACTCCCAGAGTGCTGGGATTACAGATGTGAGTCACTGGAGCTCAAGAGGTTGATGCTGGAGTAGCCATGAGCGGAGACAGAATGAGACTCTGACTCAAAAAGAAAAAAAATTTTTTTTAAATAGGCCAAATGTAGCCAGGCTCAGTGGCTCAGCCTGTAATCCCACGCCTTGGGAGACTGAGGTGGGTGAATTGCCTGAGCCTGTGGGTTCGAGACCCACCTGGGCAACTTGGCGAGACCACATCTTTAAATACATCAATAGAAAAAAAATTAGCTGGGCATGGTAGCGCGCGCCTGTAGTTCCAGCTACTTGGAAGGCTGAGGCGGAAGGATTGCTGGAGCCCGGCAGGTGGACGCTGGGGTGACCGGGAGCATGCCACTGCACTCCAGCCTGGGCGACAGAGTTAGACTCCAACTCAAAAAAGACATATAAATAAAATAAAAAATGAAATGTATTACATTAAAATATGTCTTTGCTCAAGACTTTCAAAACATCTAAATCAGTTATGCTCTAGACACTAAAAAAAGTTTTTCCAAGTTGAATTAACATGTTAATCTTATTTTCAGTTTTTAGGAGGATTTTAAGAGTAAAGCTACTTTTTTGCATGTGGGTTGATTATTTTTTAAGGCACCTCTGAAGTTTTTGAGAGAGGAGATAGGCAGGAAACCTTAATTAAAGTCTTTATTCTGCTGCTTATTAGCCTTGGGCAAGATACTTATCTCTGCATTTTTCTCCTTCTCTAAAATAAGGGTTTAGCTCTAGAGGATCTCCAAGTTATCTTTGAGCTATGAAATTGTTCCTGATTCAGTATTGTATTTAAAGAACATGAAATGGCCTAAAATCACGTTTTAAGCCATTTCCAGTCATTCCTTTTAATAGAGCTCTACAAAAGAAACAGTATTTTAGATTATTAAGCTTTTGCAATTATATTATAATTTTAAGTGATGATATACTCATGCAGAATATGCGTTACTACAGTATGCAGATTGTTGTGCTAAATCTTTCTGTTGTATATTACTGTATATTGTAAACTTGTATGACATGTACATATTGTACATACTGTGAAATTCCATAATTCCTTCAAAAGCCATAATGAAGAAACATATGTAGGAAAAAGTGAAGGATGGACTGACACCCATGTATTTTTTGTGATCTCTGAATGTGAAATAATTATAAAAATAATTGCATACTAGGTAGGTATTGATTGTAGTGATGATAATATAAGTAATAATAAGGCAAACTTTTTAAAAAATTAACTTTGAGGCAAATTTAATTCAGCCCTTAATTGAGGAAAGAGATCATTGACAAATAGACGTTACAACGTGTTCGCGTTTTAAAAAGTAACTGACGTGGGAACAGTAGAGTTATGGATGGTATTATCTCAAGCATATTCTAGGGAAAGAGGTAGTATTATTTATTTAGATGGATCCATTCTTTGAATACTTGTAATCCCAGTGGATTCCTGAAGGAAATACTACTACTCTTTCCTCTATTTTATTTTCATCATGTAATTTCCTTACATTTTCATTTCCTCAGTGAATATAATCCATAAACCAATTTAAACTGAAGTAAGGCATGAGCCAATTATCTTCCAGTTTTGGTGTTAATCAAAATAGCTGGCCACACCTATAATCCTAGCACTTTGGGAGGCCAAGGCAAGAGGATTGCTTGAGTCCTGGAGTCCAAGACCAGCCTAGGCAAGGCAATATAACAAGACCTCATCTCTACAAATATAAAAAAAGTAGCCTGGTGGTGGCGCATGCCTGTAGTCCTAGCTACTCATGAGGCTGAAGTGGAAGGGTCACCTGAGCCAGAAGGTTGAGGCTGGGGTGAGCCATGTTAGTGCCACTGTCTTCCAGTCTGAGTGACAGTAAGACCCCAACTCAAAAAACAAAGCAAACAAAGAAAAACCCTGTCATACTGCATTTGTTAAAAGTACAGATATCTAGACATCACCTAAAATATACTTAATTAGAATTTGTGAAAGTGAGGTTATAGCATCAACTAACTCTCAGATGATTTTTGTTGTTTTTAAAGAGTCTCACTCTGTCATCTAGGCTGGAGTACAATAGCACGATCATGCTCACTACAGCCTCAAACTCTTGGGTTCAAGCCATCCTCTGACATTACCCTGTGAGTAACAGGCTTACACTACTATACCTGAGTAATTTTTTTTTTTTTTTTTTTGAGTTGGAGTCTTACTTTTGTTGCCAGGCAGGAGGGCAGTGGCACATTCATGACACACTCGTAGCCACTGCAGCCTCAAGCTGCTGGGCTTAGGCAATCCTTCCGCCTCGCCTCAGCCTTCCAAGTAACTGGAACTATAGGCACATACCACCACACCCAGCTAGTTTTTTATTTATTGTAAAGATGAGGTCTCCCCAAGTTGCCCAGGCTGGTCTCAAACCCATGGGCTCAGGCACACTGGCTAATTTTTAAATTTTGTTTGTTTTGAGCCTTGCTGATTTGCCCAAGCTGGTCTCAAACTCCTGGCTTCAAGCAATTCTCCTACTTTGACCTCCCAAAACACTTTGATTACAGGCAGAAGCCACTACTCCCAACCCACAGTGATTTTTGAGAACCACTGTCAATAAGCAGTCACAGTTCTTGAGCCAGTGTATTTTTTCTTACAAGTAAAAAATTGTAAGTATTGATTTGTAGATAAATCTCCTGCTAGTTTGATTTGTATTAATCATTTCATTAGTGCTCCTAAGTGAACTGATAAATCAGTTTTTTTTTTTTAATTTTACAAGGTTGAATGAACCAGATAATCTGTTACAGTCACCAACACTGAAAACTCCTAGAGATGTGAAGTTTATTGATTATCATAACTATTTTACCTAAGGTCAAATGCACTGAAGTTTATTGATTATCATAACTATTTTACCTAAGGTCAAATGCGCTGAGTGGCTTCAGGCACTTCCCAGTTTTAACAAAGCAAGCATCCAGATTGCACTTCTCTCTTTTGGACCACGTTCTATAAATACTCATTTTCTGTTCAATGAAATACAAATCCTGTGAAGAATTTTGTTTTATTTTTTGGTAGCATTTATGTGTCTTCTATATTGGGGGAAAAAACATACAAAAACCCTAGCCCAAACCATTCGTTTTTTATTCTATACCCAAACCCTGAGTTAGCTATTTTCATTGTTATTCCTGTAATTTTTCACCTAGTGTGTACCTGGGCAATCTGTTTTTTAACCACCTCTGAAGAAGTTCAAAAAAAGCTCTATGAAGAGATAAACCAAGTTTTAGGGAATGGTCCTATTACTCCAGAGAAAATTGAGCAGCTCAGGTAAGAACACTATAAAAGGAAGAGGAGATCATTAAAAGGTAAATTTGAACTGGTTTTTCTAATTTAAAGCTAATGTTGCTATCTAGGAAAGTTATATTCTTTCATAGGACTTAGATATTTACACATAGATTTTAATAGATAATTTAATCAACTTTTTAAAATCAGAAGGTAGTTGTGGGAAACCTTTACATTAACCTGTTTTAAATAGTACTAGTGTTGTCAAGTGTGGAACACTCGTACTGTATTAGTTGGGATACACAATAGTACAGCCACATAGGAAAACAGGCTCTTAGAAAGTTGAACATACACTAATCATACCACTCAGCAACTCCACACCTAGCAATTTTATTTTAAGAGAAGTGAAAACATATCCACAAAGACCTGTATGCAAATTTTCAAGGCAATATTATACAAAATAACCAGAAATTTGAAGCAGTTCACATGTCCAGCTGGTAAATAGATAAATTATGTCATAACCATACCATGGAGTACTACTAAGTAATAATGATATTAATAAACACAATATCGACACATACAATGCAGATAAATTTCATTATGCTGAGTGAAAGAAGTGAAACATAAAATACTGTCTACTATATGATTTCACTTATGTAAAAGAACTTAGGCGCCAGTGAGAGAGAGAGAGAGAGAGAGAGAGAGAGAGAGATATGCAGGGAGAGGGCTGTATTTATGGGCCTGGCAGGGGCTGGCCAGTGCCGTGCTTGGGCTTTATTGGAGGAGACTATGAGGTAGTATTCCTATAGGGAGAAATTATTCACGTGCAGGTTTAAACTTTGCATGCGCACGAAACCATATGGGGAGAAGCCGGAGCTTAGGACCTTTGTTGTCTTTGTGTGGCAGTGCCATTTTGGGGGACGCCCTTCTGACTGTTCTCTGCGCCCTTCAGTAGTGATAGCAGATCAGTGGTTGACGGGCTAGGAATGGGGAGGGGATCAATTACAAAGGGGATGAGGAACATTTTTAGCATGTGGAAACTGTTCTATATCGTGGTTCTGGTTATACCACTATATACAACTACTAAAATTCATCAAACTATACAGGTAAAGCATTAATTTTTATCACACTATTCCTTAATTTTTAAAAAAGAAGATTTCTAAAAATTGCAGCTCTGATTGTTTAGGGGTTAGAAGCTAGAAATTTGAGACTGGGCTAGGCATAGTGGCTCACACCTGTAATCCCAGCACTTTGAAAGGCAGAGGCAAGAGGATTGCCTGAGCTCAGGGGTTCGAGACCAGCCTGGACAACATGGCAAGACCTCATCTCTACAATAAATCAAAAAATCAGCCAGGCATGGTAGCATGCACCTGTGGTTCCAGCTACTTAGAAGGCTGAGGCAGAAGGATTGCCTGAGCCCAGCGGATCAAGGCCATGAGCTTGCCACCGTACTCCACTCTGGGTGATAGAGTAAGACTCTGACTCAAAAAAAAAAAAGCCGGGCTCGGTGGCTCAGCCTGTAATCCCACACCTTTGGGAGGCCGAGGTGAGTGAATTGCCTGAGCTCGCGGGTTCAAGACTCGCCTGGGCAACTTGGTGAGACCTCATCTCTACAATAAATCAAAAATTAGCCAGGCATGGTAGCGCACGCCTGTAGTTCCAGCTACTTGGAAGGCTGAGGTAGAAGGATGGCCAGAGCCCAGCAGATCAAGGCTGTGGTGGCCAGGAGCGGCCACTGCACTCCAGTCTGGGTGACAGAGTGAGACTCCAACTCAAAAAAAAAAGTTAGAGACCAAATAGCAGGCAATCTTACCTTGGAGCATATTTCAACTATAGGGAAATAGAAGATAGGGAAACAGCCACTGGAAAGAACTAGAAACTTTGGGTTTCACAGAGATATCTGTTACAGATTATTTTACATGTTGGAAGTTTAATTTATTATATTGAGTATAACTATTTCTGATTTTAAAAGTAATACCAGTTGTCTTTTGAAATGTTTCTAATATAGAAGTATATGAAGTAGAAGGCGCAAAGATTCTTTGTAAATGTGCCTTTAATAGGTAACAATTAGCCGGGCTCGGTGGCTCAGCCTGTAATCCCGCGCTTTGGGAGGCTGAGGTGAGTGGATTGCCTGAGCCCGCGGGTTTGGGACCCGCCCGGGCAACTTGGCCAGACCTCATCTCTACAATAAATTAAAAAAAAAAAAAAATTAGCCAGGCATGGTAGCGCTTGCCTGTAGTTCCAGCTACTTGTAAGGCTGAGGCGGAAGGATAGCCGGAGCCCAGCAGGTCAAGGCTGCCGTGGCCGGGAGCGGCCACTGCACTCCAGTCTGGGCAACAGAGTGAGACTCCAACTCAAAAAAAAAAAAAAAAGAGGTAACAACTGTTACCCTACCTTGAGTAACTATTTTTTTCATGCATCTACAATATGAGAGGGGAACCCCCAAAAAACTAGAATTGTCTTTTGGAGGGTAGACCCCTTGTAGTACAGTCTTCCCCTACTAGGTAAGTGTTCTAGGAGCCTATCAGTATCAGTGTAGTGTACCAGCTAGCCTTGTTGTGAGGAACTATTTACAGGAGAATCGTCTGAGTTGTGGCAAACAGGTGACTGACTCTTCCATCAAGACAATGCACCTGCCTGCACCACACTGAGTGTTCAGCAGTTTCTGACCAAAGACAGCATGACCCACCATGCCCCACCCTTCCTGTTCACCCAGTCTCACCCCAAGTGACTTTTTTTGCTTCCCTGGATGAAAAAAGTCCTCAAAGGAAAATGTTTTGCCCATGTGGAAGAGGTGAAACAAAAAACAGCAGAAACACTAAAAGGCATTCAAATTGACGAGTTCAAAAACTGTTGAGTGTAGGAAAAGCATCTTGATAGGTGTATTGTATCAATCATGTAAGAATAAATACACAATTTTTTAATAAACAGATTCCAGGTTTTTGGGGTTCCCCTTGTATGTATTGAGAACAAAAATTTAATAACATTTAAAAATACAAAACATGTAACCCTTCTGTAAATTCAGTTTGTCCTCCAAATAGTTTGTGGGTAGTATCCTCCTATGTAGTGTCTCCACTACATCCAATCAATGATCAGGTTCTGTTGTTTCTGCTTTCCAAATACCTTCTCAGGCCTTTTTGTTTTTGGGGGGTTTTTTTGAGTCAGAGTCATCTCACTTTGTCACTCAAGCTGGAGTGCAGTGGCACAATCACAGCCACCACAACCTCAATCTGCTGGGCTTAGACAGTCCTTCCATCTCAGCCTTCCAAATAGGTACATGCCACCACGCCCACCTAAATTTTTGATTTATTGTAGAGATGAGGTCTTGCCAAGTTGCCCAGGCTGGTCTCAAACCCCTGGACTCAGGCAATCCTCTCACCTCTGCCTCCCAAAGTGCTGGGATTATAGGCGTGAGCCACTGCACCTGGCTTCAGTCCTTTTAATTCTCTCCATGGCTCTTTCTCCTGCTTTAGTTCAAGCCACCATCAGTCACCTTGACTGGGATTCTTCAGCAGCCTTGGATCTTGCTTCTTCAATCCATTCTCCAAGCTGCTGTCGGAGCCTGAGGCAGCACTCTCCACTCACTTAGAGTACTTTAGAAGTACAGATACCAAGGGCCAATCCCACACCAACTGATTCCATCTCTGGACATCAGAAGTTTTCAAAAGCTTCTCAGATGATGCTAATGTATATTTGACAATGAGCTGGTGATCTTTCTACATCTGGAGAGTCATGTCCCCAGTGTAAAGTCCTTGCTCTTGAGATGGAGTTTAAAATCCCTTACATGGCTTTTGAGGCATTTCAAATGCTGGGCCTTGCATACCTCTCCTACCTTCTTTCTCATTACTTGTTCCTTTTTATATAGCCTTGGATTCAGCTATACTGAAAGTCTTTTGTTTCTTTGAAGATGCCACACTCTTATCTTCTGGCTTTTACACAGACTGTTCCTCTGTATAGATCTCTGTTCTTCTCTTTTCTAGCTAACTCCAGTTTTTTGAGGGTTTTTCTTGTAGGTTTCAACCTAAATGTTTATTTCTCTACAAAACTTTTTTCCTACATTACGTGCTCCTGCCATGTGTTCCCATAATGCCCTGAACTTCCTTTATTATAACATTCGTGTGCTTGTTAAATTGTTCAGCCTTTATGTCCCCTCTACTCTCCTTCCCCCTGCCAATTAGATTCTAAACTCCTTTGATAGCATCTGTCTTGGTCACCATTGCAGCCCAATATTTACACAGTGCTTCAAATATTGTAGTTACTCAATAAACACATATTCAGAAGAAGGGAAGGAAGGGTGTTTCTTCTTTTGTTTTTGATATTATAAAGAATCAACATTTCTATGCTTACATTTTGCCAATATTTCTAATTTTATCTAAATAATAAGGTCCTAGATGTAAGCTTATAGCTTAAGGATATATGCAATAGCAAGCACAGTGATTAAGATTAAGGACTATGGATTAAGACAGATATAGGTTTGAATCCTGTCTATACCATTTACTTGCTGTGTGATCTTAAACAATTGCCTGTAATTTAATCTGTACAATTAGAAGAATAGTAGCATCCATGGGCTTCTTGGAAGGATTAAATGAGATCCTGTATATAAAACATTTAAGTAAACTAACTCATGGCGAGATTGCAATATATTTTAACTTTTATTCTCCTCACTGTGATGCACATTTAATATTTGATATATGGCCGGGAACAGTGGCTCATACCTGTAATCCTAGCACTTTGGGAGGTGGAGGCTAGAGGATTGCCTGAGCTCAGGGGTTTGAGACCAGCCTGAGCAACATGGCAAGACCTCGTCTCTACAATAAATCAAAAAATTAGCTGGGCATAGTGACATGTGCCTGTGATCCCAACTACTTGGAAGGCTGAGGTGGAAGGATCACTTGAGCCCAACAGGTCGAGGCTGTGGTGGCCATGAATGTGCCACTGCACTCCAGCCTGGGCAACAGAGAAGACTGACTCAAAAAAAATAGTTGATATACATTGCCAAATTATACTTCAGGAAGGTTGTACCTATTTATGCTTGACCAGTTGAATATGAGAGTGTCTTTTTCTTTCCTTTTTTTCCCCTCACCCAGGCTGAGTACAGCCTCGAACTCCTGGCTTACTGCAGCCTCGACCTCAAGGGCTCAGGCAATCCTGTTTCAGTCTCCCAAATAGCTGGAACTATAGGCGCATACCACCATGCCTGGCTACGTTTTTTATTTTTTGTAGAAACAAGGTTTCGCTGTGTTACCCAGGCTGATCTTAAATTCCTGGGCTCAAGCAATTCTCCCACCTTGGCCTCCCAAATGCTAGGATTACAGGCATGAGCCACCACTCCTGGTGCTTTATCTTTCATTAGTTATGTCTGTTGTCATTCTTTTTCATCTTTGCCAGTCTGGCAAGTAAAATAAAAATACTTTATTGGCAATCTTTAAATTGTTAATGAGGTGTTTCATTTCATATGTCTTCAAGTCATTTGTATTTCTTTGTGAGTTGTTTTTTATATTCTCTGCCCGTGTTTCTATTATGGTATTTGTTTACTTTCATTACTTCTGAAGAACTTTTATAATTCTTTTTTTTTTTTGATTTGATGTCTCAGCTGTCACCCAGACTGGAGTGCAGTGACCGCTCCCAGCCACCACGTGCTACCATGCCCGGCTAATTTTTTATTTATTGTAGAGATGAGATCTCGCCAAGTTGCTTAGGAGGGTCTCTAACCCATGGGCTCAGGCAGTCCACTCGCCTCGGCCTCCCAAAGTGCTGGGATTATAGGCTGAGCCACTGAGCCCGGTCTATAGTTCTTTTTAAAAATAACTTTTATGTATTAAAGATATGTTTACAGAAAATATTTGTCCTCGTTGTCTTTTAATTTTAAACAAAATGTTTCTGAATTAGCCGGGCGTGGTAGCACGCGCCTGTAGTTCCAGCTACTTGGAAGGCTGAGGCGGAAGGATTGCTGGAGCCCAGAAGGTTGAGGCTGCGGTGGCCGGGAGCAGCCACTGCACTCCAGTCTGGGCGACAGAGTGAGACTCCAACTCAAAAAAAAAAGTTTCTGTAGATTTTTTAAATGATTTCTATCAATGTGTCATGCTAAAAATAAAAAAAAAAAACTTTTCTATTAAAAATTATAAAAGTATTATTTTGAGTTATCTTCAGTTACTTTTAGGAATCTTTTTCAACCGGGCTCAGTGGCTCAGCCTGTAGTACCAGCACTTTGGGAGGCTGAAGCGAGTGGATTGCCTGAGCCTGCGGGTTTGAGACCAGCCAGGGAAACTTGGCTAGACCTCATCACTACAATAAATAAAAAATTAGCTAGGCGTGATATCACTCGCCTGTAGTGCTGGCTACTTGGAAGGCTAAGGTGGAAGGATCGCCAGAGCCCAACAGGTTGACGCTGGGGTGGCCGTGAGTGTGCCACTGCACACCAGCCTGAGCAATGGAGTAAGACTTCAACTCAAAAAAAAAGAAATCTTTTTATTTGTTTAAATCTTTATTCATCTAGAGGTATAAAAATATTTTTCATAAATCTTTGTATACATCCAATGTATAACATATCTTTTAGCAAATAAGGATTAGGATAGGTCCAGGCATGGCGGCTCACACCTGTAATCTCAGCACTTTGGGAGGCCAAGGTGGAAGCCCAGGAGTTCGAGACCAGCCTCGGCAATATAGTGATACCTCATCTCTACAAAAAAAAAAATTATAAACATTTTTAAATTAGAAGTCTGAGGTGGGAGGATTGCTTGTGACCAGGAGTTCAAGTCTGTGGTGACCCATGATCATGCCACTGCAATCCAGTCAGGGTGACAGAGTGAGATCCTGACTCAATTTAAAAATGGGCTGGGCTCGGTAGCTTAACCTGTAATCCCGTGCTTTGGGAGGCTGAGGTGAGTGGATTGCCTGAGCTAGCGAGTTCGAGACCCGCCTGGGCAACTTGGTAAGACCTCATCTCTCCAATAAATCAAAAGTTAGCTGGGCGTGGTAGCGCATGCCTGTAGTTCCAGCTACTTGGATGGCTGAGGTGGAAGGACCACCAGAGCCCAGCAGGTCAAGGCTGCGGTGGCCGGAAGCGGCCACCGCACTCGTCTGGGTGACAGAGTGAGACTCCAACTCAAAAAAAATAAAAATGAAAATAAAATTTAAAAATGGGACTAGTGAAGGACATTTTAAAGATATACATACAATTTAAAATTGCCTTTTCCAAAATAAACATTCTCAAAGATTTTTCTTTTTCTTTTTTTTTTTTTACTTCCAAGAGTTTTAATCTAATTTTCTAGTTTTAATAACATTTAGTTTTTGGTTTTTTTAAATCAATATTTTTTATTATGATGTTGTGGGGTACAGTTAAGGGTTAGGTATACAAATATGCTTCATTTAGGCCCTCTTGTTGATAACAGGTGTCTCCCCGTCCCCAGACAGATGTTTACTGCCATTAGTCCCACCCCCCTTCCCTCCCCCCATAGTTTCCCCCACCACTGTCAGTCATTTTCTTATGGTAGTGTGTTGGATGATCGAGGTCCACTATATTAGTGAGAATATGTGATACTCAGATCTTTGTTTCTGTGAGAGGTCACTCAGTATTATAGACTCTAGTGCCATCCAGGTTGCTGTGAAATTCATGATTTTGTTCTTTTTTATGGCTGCATAGTATTCCATCGTGTATATGTACCACATTTTTTTAATCCAGTCCTCTTTTGATGGACAGCATGGTTGGTTCCAGGTTCTTGCTATTGTGAACAATGCTGCAATAAACATTCGTGTGCAGGTATCTTTTTTATAGAGTGATTTGAGTTCTTCAGGGTATATTCCCAGTAGGCGGATTGCAGGGTCATATGGGAGGTTGATGTTTAGAGCTTTTAGGAATTGCCACACTGCTTTCCACAGAGGTTGCACTAGTTTACACTCCCACCAACAGTGTAGGAGTGTTCCCTTTTCACCACACCCTCTCCAACAACTGTTATTTTTTGAGTTATTGATAATTGCCATTCTGACTGGAGTAGGGTGGTATCTCAGTGTGGTTTTGATTTGCATCTCCCTGATAATTATTGAGTTTGAGCATTTCTTCATGTGTTTGTTGGCTGCTCAGATGTCTTCCTGTGAAGTGTCTGTTCATATCTTTTGCCCATTTTATAATAGGGTTGTTTGTTTCTTTCTTTTCAGCACGTTTGAGTTTCTTGTAGATCCAAGATGTTAAGCCTTTGTCAGACCTGGAGTTGGCAAAGACTTTTTCCCAGTCTGTAGGCTGTCTCCCTGCTCTCTTGATGGTTTCTTTGGCTTTGCAGAAGTTTGTCAGTTTAATGAGGCTCCACTTGTCTATTTTATCCCTTATGGCCTGTGGGTTTCGGGTTTTGTTCAGGAATTGGATGCCAGTTCCAATTTCCATGAGGGTATGTCCTTCATTTTCTAAGGTTCTTATGTTTTGACAGACATTTAGGTCTCTGATCCATTTGGAGTTAATTTTTGTATATGGGGATAGGTAGGGGTCCTGTTTCAATCTTCTGCATGTGGTCAGCCAGTTTTCCCAGCACCATTTACTGAATAGGTTCTCCTCTCCCCAGTGGTAGGTGGTGGAGGCTTTGTCGAAGATGAG